GGGGGGGGGGGGGGGGGGGGAGTTCTCAGCGTTTAGGAGCAATCTAGGTCCTCACGGCTACATGTTGATTGCAAGCTGATTGCAAGTATACTCTATAGTATACAATATTCAAACACATCATACAAAGTTAGCCGGTAATGAGATGTGTAGGTCGGCCTCGTGCGATAATGTGCGTACAAGTTAGATTATATTAGATGTTGGATTCGGCTCTATACCTGTATATGCACTGTCTGTATGTTTGTACGCACATGCGTAAAAATTGTAGGTATGTAGGTATGTATACACGNNNGCATGTATGCTTGCATGTATGTATGCATGTAACGTTATGTATGTATGTGTATGTGAGTATGTATGTTTGTGTGTGTACTTGCTTGCTTATGCATGTACAGACCGGTCTTTGTACTTGACATATGTACATGACAGTTGTAAACACATATCATTTGCCTAGGCGTAAATTCGTGCCCAGGTTGCTGCGACTGGGATGCCTGCGCCGAAAGTTCGTGCACACATGCACGCATGGTGTATGCACGCTTGCACAAAGAGGACGAGAAGAAGAGTGAGATACAAGTACCTTACTGTAGAACGTGTCTTCAAACAGCAAGCACATGCTCGACGGCATTTCGCGTCCTAACGTTACTCGTATGACTCTGTGTAGGCACATGTCACTGGGCATGCATTAACCAAGAAACCATGTGTGGATGCGAGGGCAAATGGATTTGTTTCATCCGTCTGGTTGAAGACATCCTGAGATGCCGTCCTATGCTGCCCCGGTTCAATATCACACTTTTCACATCGCACCAGGGCCTCATCCTGTGCATGTTGGGCATGCGGTTAGATCGTAAACCGTCCGCCCATTCACAAGCATGGTGCACATGTGATGTATGTATGAATCTCGGAATTTTAGCAAACCGGCTTGGAGGCAAGGGGTCTCGTGAGGACACCAATTCTCGAGCATGTTCTGAAGTGCTCGATCACTGCTGAGGACGGGCCGGCCAACCCTACGGTAGAGACCCTAAGCCATAAGCCCTAAACTCTACGCTTGTGGGCTTTGATCCTTAGCTATGCGAGAGGGAAAAAAACTCTACGCCCTGGCACTTACCCGACCGAGTTCCATGGATTTCTATTCCGGACCCCCAAACCAATATGGACAGATTGATGATTGATACGTATATATTCATATTCGTTGAACTTGTTGCTCTCTCTCTCTCTCTCTCTCTCTCTCTCTCTCTCTCCCCCTTTCTATACATGTGTCCATCTATACACACACATCTCTGCAAATCTGGCCCCACTGAGGCACCTCCAGGCCGATAAGGCGGCCCGCGTCCATGGAAGAAGTCGACAGACGCCTCCACGCAGCTCATGGTTTCGGCATCATAGGGCTTCATGGGGTCTAAGGCCTTCTAGGGCGAATGGGGTGTAGGGTGCACGGTTTCGGGACTGGGTTTGAGGTTTCGGGATTGGGTTTAGGCAAACACTTGCAAGTGAACATGTCCGACGGTGCCGTGTGACACATCCACATCCCTTTCGATGCAGGTTCAAGAAAAGTATACTACGCTCCTCCAAGTTGTTCGGCAGAATGGGCATCCCAATTTAGGGCTTTGGGCTCACGGTTTAGGGCGTAGGGTTTGGGGTTTAAGGCTTCGGGCTTGGGCGGCCTTAGGACGGCCGTGGACGGGTTGCGGGAGGCGACTGGGTCTGGGCTGTGGCAAGAGAGGCTGCATTGCCTGCACCTTGCCTCCAATCCAAGTAGTATGGCAGATGCTTTGGTAGACAACAGATGCGAGTGACTGGCAGTCTTGCGACGGTTATGGCGATTTGAGATTCGATGACGGAGGCTCTTAGTTTCCTGGGTCTTTCAGCTTGGAGCTGCTTCAGATGTGAAATCCAGCGGTCCGGTGGGCCTTCAAGTCTCGACCTGGCCTTGTCGAGTTTTGGGCTGACATGGCGACCGTTCTGATTCCCAGGCTGCGCCGAGAATCGATGACACTAAGCTCTGAACTCAACTGCCCACCGATTCCTGCATTCTGCTGGCGGTGCGGCCGTGATGTCGCCGTTGTCGTGGTTGCTTGCGGCAGTCGTGGCAACATAGAGAGGCAACGGAACCAGAGCAGTCTCCGTAGGTTTTGCTTATGAAGATGATCGTCATTGTTATGCGGCCCCCACTTTCAAACCATGGCGACCATACTTGTTGTTAGGCTTCTGACATCAACTGGAAGGCTGCGATCGAACAAAAGTAGCAAAGGGGGTCGTGAGTTTGCATCGGCCTGTACCTTGCAGCGCGAGAAATCCCAGAATTCTGCTCTCGCCGGTAGCTTCGCCCAGTCGCATTCTTTAGTCAACTTGAAGCCCCAGAAGTCTGAGGAGTGAAGGAGCTCCCTGACCTCATGGGCAAGCTTGATGAGACGCTGGGATGGGTTTCGTAGGGTTTTCAGGCCAAAAGATGGCACAAGAACGGGTGGAGTAGGATTTAGGGTTTCGGAGACTCTCTGGATTGATTTGTGCTTCTGCTGGCCTAGAGGAGGTTCCGCACCCGAAGGCTGCTTGCGAGGAAAACAACAGGATTTCCACCTTCAGGCAAGAAGTCGGGCCCAGAACAACGGGTTCCATGCCACAGCTCTTGAAATCGAGGCCCCCCCGGCCCCGCCCAAGTGAAGCCGCTGAGGATGGGTCTGACACACGAGTACATCGTGCTTCAGCTGCAGCAGTGTTGAGAGTCTTCGCCTTTGGTCCCACCGAGGATAAGAAGGCCATGATCTTTGATCTTTGCTTTCTGTTGTAGCACATGATTTTCTAGCTCATGTTTTTTTGCATATTACATGATACCGTATCACTGCCTTTGGTCCAGAAAGCTTGTCGCATGCCTCAGTGCGATCCCTCGAACTAAGGCCTACCGCGAACGATACATGGCATGGCGGACCGGGGATGCCCATGGAGCACTGGCCCCAGAGAAGTGGTCCCCTGGTTTTCGGGATGGAGCATCTCGTTTTTGGAGTTCAATGTTCTTCTATTACAGTAGTGCGTTTTGGGTTCTGAACTGACAAAGCCTGCTCTGGGAAAGTTTTTTCCGTTGTTGCTGTGGCACCATGCCGTTCTTCAACCCACTTCGTGCAGATACAGTCTGACGGAGACAGGCAGTCAGAGAGAAAAGCATCATCCCCCTCAAATGAAGCAGCCGCTACTTATATGGCAGCAAGGAGAGCCTGAAAATCCTAGCCTTCTAAGCCTGCAGGCTTAACGGTTAGGCTTCGTTGCTCTGGCTACACCCTAAGCCCTATCTACCTTCAAGGGGGGCTAGAGACTAAACCGTAAACACTAAGCCCCGAACCCGAAACCCTAAAACTTGAATTTGCACGCCTTGTAGCACCCTGAAAGAACCCTTCTAGAACCCGCATAGAAACCCTATGATCCCTATCCCCTGAAGCCCGTAAGTTAGAAGCCCCCTTCTAATAACTAAATTAGAGAAGTAAAAAAGGCCCCGAGAGTACAACAAACGAGGCAGACGGGGAGCTACGAGCAGCTTCTACGCAGCAGCTGGCAGTGGTGACTTAGGGCTTGAGGCGATTCATAGCAAAGGGGGGGTATTGAGGTTCAGGTTTAGCTCGGCATCTGGAAAATGGAGTGGTACGAGGGTTGGAAGAAGGCTCCTCAGCATGAAGAAGAAGAGGAAGGATTGATGCTAGCCTATCATCATCGTTTTCACCGGGAAAGCTTGGAGCGTGAGGCTTGGGGCGAGTAGAGCCGGTAATCCTTGGCGGCCTGCGCAGGGCTGGAAGTGCCAAAGGAGAAGGCCTTAGCCGGCATGCAGGCAGAGCAAACCGACAAGTTTTCCAAAGTGGGAGGAGAAGATGCAGAAGTGGGTGCATGGGAAGATCGGAAGGGCCCAGTAAAGTGCAGCATTTTCAGTGGATGCATGCTTGTTGAAGCCTGTGCTTCTTGGCGTGGAAGGTGTACTTAAGATGAGAAGCGCAGGGCCGGAACAAATCGGTCTGTTTGGGTCCTATAGTATAGTCGTCTCCACGCTGTGAGCGGATGATCTGGAGTGCAAATCTGAGACGACTTTGCTTTGCTGGGGCGAGAGGTGTTGCATACTTTCGTTTTCAGGCCATTGGAAGATGCTACATGCAGCCCTAACAGCCCCTAAGCGCTGAACCACAAACGGCATCCTTGCCTGATGTCGTATTGTAATGGTGATATGCTCCTTTGCAGTGCGATAGCCCTCGGATGGGTTTGCCGAGCTGCGAGTGGTAAACAAAACGGTACCGGGGTTACATGGTGACATCTAACTACAGGGATCAGCTTGTAGGAGATCGCTAGCGATGAGTGGCTGTGCCACCAAGGATATGCATCAGAAAGCAGCAGGCCGCCGGAGGGTTCACGTGCTTTCTGCGCAGCCATCACAACTTGATTGCGTCGTTATTGCCATTTTGTTTCATGTCACTGCTTCCGGAATCATGCTGTAAACTTGCTACCGAGAGCAATGTACCGGTCCGAAACAGCAGTGCCAGCGACGTCCATGATTCATGATTTGTTTAGCTTCCGTTTCTCTGCTGCCAGGAGGACCACCATGAGCGTAGTCCCCACACAGAGTCAGACCTGGCCAGTGGTATTATCAGGAAGAACAGAAGAGGAGGAGTAGGTAATACCTTGACCTATTCATGTTCTTTTTCTTAACCCCGGACTTGCCAGGGTTCGGCTTCTGGTACCCCTCTCTGGAGGTGCGCATAGCTTTGTGAACCGCTGTTCTGGGATGCCGATGAGCTTAACTCTATCTGTCTTCCAGATATCGTCCGGGAAACCAGCGCGAGGTTTCAGGACACAGCACCCCAACCTCTTACAGCAAGAGCAACTGCCAGGTGTGGCAGTGGCGAAGGACTTTATCCTACTGGATTGCAGTGACATTCTTCGAAGGCCGACTGCCCGACTGCTACCGCATGTCAGGTTTGTGCCAATTATCATTCAAAGCTGTGGCTAATATGGGGGCCATATAATAATTAGCAGGGTCTGCGGTGTGCTTTTTGCTATAATTGAGATTAGGCCCCTGGACGAGTCAATTGTAGCGGGGCTCATTGCCAAGTGCCTTTCCTTGGGGAATTCTGGAGGCCCTGAGGGGTGTGGGGGGTGGGGGGGGGGGGCGGGAAATATTGACATGAGATTGTTTCATATTACATTATTAAGATATTGTATATGATAGCACAATTTAAAATAGCACTGGCTGAGGTTCAATCTTCTTTACGCTTTCCTCGTTCCTTTGGTGCTATGCAGAGGACGGATGGCAGATAGGTTCCAGAGAATGGTTACTTCTAGTTGGTCATTGCAGAACATTGTGGAAGTGGCAGACGCCCCCTTCGCAGCAGTCTTCCCAACAACTTTGAATGGTTTCGATGTTCACCGCCTGGCATGGGCAAGTGTATCTCACATTTACACCTGCGAAGGAGCTTGGCACCATGAAGCCAGCCCTGACGAAGTGGGGCTACGTAGGTGGAAAGATCAACTTCATTGTATGCACTTACCTGATGTGCATTGAATCTCGGAAAGATTCGTGCTTTCTGTGTTTAGATGCAGGCTTCGCTTTTTGCAATCAACACTGGCCATTTTGACAGCCTGCCTACCACTTCGTTCCTAAAACGAAATGCAGAATCCGTACCGAGGTCTGCGGGCCTTGAACGTTCAGCTGAGGAAACGATCAATCTGACGGCCGACCACGAGCAGCAGAGGCGAACAACCATCGACAAGCTCACAGGCTCAGCTGTTGCCGGAGGGGCGTCCTCGTCGGAAACCCGGCATCATGGAAAGCTTTGAAGATGCTGGCTCTTGCTGTCGCAGATCTGATCGTAATTCTGCCTTCCGAGTTCACTGCTGCTATTAGCACCACGACGACGACGACTACTATTGCTGCTGCTGCTGCTGCTGCTGCTGCCACAACGACGACAACAACAACAACAACTACTACTACTACTACTACTACTACTGCTACTACTACTACTACTACAACAACTACTACAACAACTACTACAACAACTACAACAACAACAACTACTACTACTACTACTACTAATTACTACTACTACTACTACTACTACTACTACTACTACTACTACTACTGACTGCTCGACACTGCCAAGCGGGAGCCGAAAGCTACTCCTACTCCTACTCCTACTCCTACTGCTACTGCCACTGCCACTGCCACTGCCACTGCCACTGCCACTACTACTGCTACTACAACTACTCCTGCTGCTGGTGCTACTACTACACGACTACCAGAACTTCACTACTACTGGCGCTGATATTGCAACCATCGCTGCCACTACTTCCGGCGTGGTCCCGAGTACGCTGCCTGACTTCTGTTGCCAATCCGACGACGGCTGTGACGACTGTCGTTGCTGCTACAATCAAAATGAAAGGAGCGGATAACCCCACATGCGTATTTTCTCGAAAGGGTTGGCAGCAATAATTCCAGAAACAGAGGGAGTGAGAGCAAGTGAGCGGAAGGTATGGGTGAGGCGTGAGCGCGGTGGGAGGAAGCGCATGCAGGACGCGAGGACGACACGGAAGAGACGGCGCTGACGCACGGAACGCAAAAGCATGAAGCTGACGCGCAACTGAGGCGGAATGACTGAGTCAGCGGGTGAGGCGTGAGTCAGGCGAGAAGAGGCGGGCGGACGAGGCACAGAACGACGCGGAAGTGCGCTCGGAGGTAATTATATAGAGGGGGCCACCCAGTGTTGGGGGGTGGAGGAGGGCCACCAAATGCTGCGCGTGTTCCTAAACCGGCGTGGGGTTGTGCTGGGAGTCTCGAGATGTCCCGACGGGTGGAGGGTTGGGGGCACCAACTGGGACCGGGAGTCTCGAGACTTGCTGCGCCTGCTGGAGTCCTGAAGCGCGCTCTCGGGCGCGGAGGGGGAGGCGCTCAACTTGGAGGGGCCACCACATGCTGCGCCTACCAGCAGTGCCGAAGCGTGCTCGGAGTGGAGGGCCCACCAAATGCTGAATCCAGAAGCACGCTCGAAGTTGCAGGGAGGCCACCAACTACTGCGCCTGCTAGGAGTCCGGAAGCGGACTCGGGGTGGAAGTGGGTCACCAAAGGCTGCGCCTGCCAGCAGGAAGGGGGATGCTGCGCCTGCTATGCTAGGAGTCCCGAAGCGCGCTCTGCACCAAATGGTGCGCTTGCTAGATGTCCGGAAGCTCGGGGTGGAGAGGGGACCAAATGCTGCGCCTGCTTTAGTCCCGATCGCGAAGGCACCAAATGCCGCGCGTGCCAAGCGCGCTCGAGGGTGACGGGGCACACCAAATGCTGCGCCTGCTAAGAGGGTGGAGGGGGGCCACGAGGCGGGAGGAGGCGGGAGGAGGGTGGAGAGAGGAGGCGGAGGGAAGGCGGGCGGGCGACGGACGCGGCGACGGACGCGGCAGGCGACGGATGGCGACGGACGCCAAGCAGAGAAAGTAAGAACCCCACACAAATATCTGGGGACCCCTAGCCCTAGCCCCCTTGTAACGTAATCAGATAGTATAACTGATAATGTGCCCCGGGACCCTATTCTCATGACGAAAGTCCCGATACTGCCTATGCTTTCTGTTTGCAAGAGGGCTTGTCCCCTAGGCAGCCATCGTTTTCGGCCCAGCCCGAGCCCCATGAGCCCCCGTGAACCCACGAACCCTTGGAGCCTCAAACATAGGGGCCAACAAAAATATGACTAATGCGGTTTTTGCGGCTCCTTTTTATAGAATGATCGTATAATAACCTTGTCTAGGTGTTAAGGCCCATACATTGCGCTGGAACCAAAGACCGCAAGCTCTATCAAGGAAGACGAGTCCACAACCCATGACATCGACGAAGATCTATCAGAATCGGACGGCCCAGGCTTGACTTTGCTTCAGGGGTGAGTCGACTTCCACAGAAGCCCCATAGATCAAACAGGGCCACCCTGCATGGATCCCATGTCAGAACAACCCTACTTGGGTCTCGGGATGTTCTCTCTTGCAGCAACAGCCGGTCACATCCATTGAGGCCATGCGTGTGTAATTGTGGTAGCCTCGGAAACAGCAGGTAGCGCTTCAATGGTGACCCAAGCTGTGGTCCAGTAACCTTTTGTGGTTTATCTAATCCTAGAATAATTGAAAAGGTTCTGGACTAGGGTACTCGGCCCAGTTGCGAGGCTGGGAATGCCTGGGTGACTCGGCCACTGCTCACAGCTACGACCGGAAGTTGTTTCCTAAATGTAATCATGGGTATAGTGACTGCCAGCCAACATTCCTGCTGATGATTCAGGCTCCCATAGAACCCCCCCCATAATCCCTACAAAGTACTAGGACTGTACCAAGCCCTCTATACCCGCAGACGCAGGCGTGGAAGGTCATAAGAGGTGTGCGGAGTGTACCTAGGTGTGTACCTGACCGGTTGAGGGTTTAGGGTGGTTTAGGGTGTAGGCCAATAGATTTATTCCAATGCCAGGCATGACAGCGAAAAGGTCGAATCTTCAAGTCGGAGACTGGTACCCTCTTGTAGTCCCAAAATTATGCAAAAGCACAATATACCCGAAACCCCATTCTAACTCTTCAGGCCCTGCATTACACTAAACTCTCCGATGGCTTTGTGAGCAGAAGGCAAAAGGGAAGCACGCCTGGGGTTCTTATGGTAGTATAGTTCTTGCGGTAGCTGGCAGGAATAGTGTGTCGTCGTAGTAATAGTAGTGCTGCTACTACTCCTCCTCCTCCTATTCCTACTCCTTGTCCTACTCCTGCTACTACCCCCACCGTCACCGCCACCGCCACGCCACCGCGATCGGCGGCGGCGGTGACGAGTACCAGTACCACGACGACGACTACTAGTACCTGTACCCAGCAGGTTCTGCAAGGCCTTGATAGGGCTTATCATGGCATCTACGTGTAGAAGATCAAGCAGAACACCAGGTTCGGGGGGTAATTTGCAGCGGGCCGCCGGGCCTTTTGCCAGCGGAAGGACACTTCCTTGCACAGCCCAACATAGAAACCCAAAGACGAAGTCAGAGCCCGAAGGCGAAGCCCAAAAATCAAACAGCCCTAAACCCTAGACCCTAAAATCTAAACCCTCGTTTAATGCGGTTTAGTCAGGTGAGGGCGAGGGGCAGAGGCGGAAGACTGCACTCCATGCCGACCGCTTCTACCTGAATCCGTTCCGTGCGCAGAAGGCACCTCGGATGTTTCTGAACATGTATGTATATATATATATACATACACACTCGTTGTATGGCTGCAGGCAGAAGATGTTCTTGTCTTGTTTAACGTGCGCACGGTCTATGTATGCATGTACGTATATGTATATGTAGTTAGAAAACAGCACATGTTTGTGTATTTATAGACATATATATAGAGAGAGAGAGAGAGAGAGAGTTCCTTGATTCATTGATTCATTACCTATTGCACAGTAAGCTTGTGTACGTATTTCGTTCTGCAAACATGCCCACACACACATAGCCACCGTGCGCACGGAAGCAAGAAACTTCCTGGCTGCCAAGAAGCCGAGCTCTGGAGACCTGAGCCGGCAAGAAAACCGGTGTGAACACAACATAGGAGCTCCAAGAACTAGCTGTATTGCAGTTCGACCATGTTCAATCCATAAGTGCAAGTGGTGAGTGGAGAACCAGAAGAAGCTAGTTCTTGTCTGCCTGCATTCTGAGGCCCGCAGGAGTCCTCGATACCCATGTCTGAAATGCTTCTGAACAAGTAGCTTGTGAGCTGATTCGGTGTTTGAAGCATGGGCTGCTTGTCGAACCTTGATGCCCCACAGCCCCTTGACGTGTTCCATGATTTGGGCCCTCAGTTCCGCGGTGCGCTGTGCATCGTCGAACCAATCCTTCTAGTGGTGCACCAGAATGAGGTCAGCCAAACCCAGGTGCAAGGGCCAAACCCTAATCGATCTTGCTGCTTCGCAAGGAGGTGAGCTTAAGATTTTGCGTATATGACATCTCTCGACCAGACAGAGTAACACGTACAGTCTCGAACTCATTACTGCTTGAGTTTCCCGCGCGAACAGAAGCGAGACAACCAATGAAAGGTGGGAACTTGATTTGTTGTTGGCGGCAGTGCCACTACTACCACGATCTCCGTCACTACCACTACCACTACCACAGCAGCAACAACAACTACTACTACTCCTGCATGCTGCTCCTGCTGCTGCGGCATCCATTGCCAATTTTCGCTACTACTCGAGTTTTGTCCATGCTGCTGCTGGTTCCGCGGCTGCTGTTGGTACTACGTCTCAGTTCACATGTGACAGCTGACACCTGCTAGATGCCGTTCGCAACTAAACAGACTCCCACTGGTGCAGGCGCTGAGAAACCTGAAGAGATTGGGTTGTGGACCATGGCCTTATTGGGCGTCTCTGATCTATCTCTTAGGCAGCGGGCTGGGAACTGGGATTTATTGTTTCAGTGCCAAAGGCGGGTGGTTAAAGGCGTTTGTTGGTGCTGTGCGGCTTGGTGCCTGCATGTCGGTAGTTCTTAGTGTGCCAACAAGCTTGTTGGTTTCTGGCATGTGCTTTGGCCACTGCAGAAGCAGATCCCGAACGTGTCCATAGCTTCTCCCAACAGACTTCCATATTCTAAACCCAACACCGCAGCACAAGCAAATTGAGAGGTAAGACGATACCATTGAGTTTACAAATGCGCGTGGCGTGCATACCCAGTGTCTCGTGCGCACATACTGTCTGCGAATGCATACCTACTTACGCATGTCCTTCATTCGGGGGGCCTGCAAGTAAACACCAGCAATTTCAAGACGGAAGAGCTCACTCAAGGAAATTTAATCTTGAGGTTGAGGTTTCGATTTCCCCTAGCCCTAGCAGAATGCAGTAGCCGAGTTCTCCATCCCAGGCCGACCATCCGGGCGGCCGGGATAATCACATGTCCTTTCGGCCTATGTTAATATTGATCCGGCATCGCAAACAATACGCGGAAAGTTGCGATGTGGGAGCACGGAAGAAGGGGCATGGAGGGCTAGATGTAATGACTCCTCATGTTCTCTCGTGCCCGAAGGTGAATCATGAATCAATCAGTCACAGATCAGTTGAACATGACACGTTCGATCTGTGAAATCTTGCCACTTCCCCTTCGGCTAGCGTCAGCAGAACTAGTTTGCTCTCGGGCGTGGGCTGTTCCATGGTTTCTGGCAGTCCGCGGATTCCAGATGCAAGGTAGGCCGAGCTCTGGTTTCCGAGTTTCCTTCTGCAGATTGGCCAGGCGTCGTTGCTTTCACCGTAGGCTTGGTGGCAGAGTTTTGCACCTTCCTGCCCCACGACGTGATGGAATGGACGCTGCTGACTCTCAGCAGGTTTTTTCGAGCTCTTTAAAACTGAAATTGGGGAAGAATCGAACTCTTAAGTTGTGACTATCTGGCAGTATATCAGGCAGTACGTCAAGTTTGTGAGACGCCTCCCATCACGGGAAGCATAGGGCCTAGAAACCCCAGTCTAGCCTAGCGGCCAGCGGCATGTATGAACGGTTGGCTGTGCCATTACCGGCAGAAGCGCAAGAACAGCACGCACCGTCGCCGTTGCAAGGAAGGCAACGATAGAGGTCTGCGACGAGGGGGCATGCGCACCGTAGTTGAACCTATTCGATAGGTTTGTCATTCCTCGTTCCCAAAGTTTATGTACTGACGGCTAAATTTCTTGCATGGGCAGAACTCGCAGCTGAGCTGGTTTGATTTTTGAAGGTATGGACTCACTAGATCGGATGTCAACAGAGTATTGTGGACAGTCCTCTCATGGTGATCTTTGTGCTGTCAGCACAACTTTGCCTACAATCAGGGCTTCTCCCGCCACTTCTGTCGCGACAAGCCTTAATTTCTTGATGTTGTGATTTCGATGGTTCCTGGCTAAAAAGCACGATGTCTAGTTCTCTTTTGACTGGTGTTGCCGATGTTGCAAGTAGTTTCTGCAGCTGTTCTGCTGATTGCATGGCGGGCATGCTTAATAGTCGTGCCATCGCTTAAGTTGAAACTTTAGGCTTTTTCTTCTGCGATGTGTTCGGCAGATCACCATTGCTGGTCGCGCAATGGCTCCCACGGATAGCTGAATCTTACGAACATGGCTCAGGGCCCCCAACATTCTAACGTGGAGCCGCACCACCGTCGTGGTAAGAGGCCCCCATGACATGCCTGTCATAGCTGTTTTTTGCTCATGCTAGAGAGGGTGGTGTGCTGTCTTTGCGGGCCAGGGCCCCCCCGTCTGACTGAGTCCACCAGCCATTGCGTATCCCTGGTTAAACGAGGCCGAGTGGGAGCCCCGAACCCCTTACGACCGCAAACCCAAGCACTCATAATTTATAGATTGGGTTCCTTGAAGGGTAAACCCCAAGCCCTCGAGGGTTATGATAGTTACTGTGAGGGGATCGCCTTCGATACTTAGGATCAGCTTCGAGCTTGGCTCCCTCATGTTCCTGGGGGGTGGGCTCATGGAATGCCTGGAGAACGCCACTTGGCTAGGGTTCTAGGGTTTGGGCCTACCGTGGATACTGCTGATCCAGCATGACTTCCCAGATAGATCTTAGGTCCCGGGGCTTATCCAAGTTCAGCAGCATGGGCAGGGTGGGGAGGACCATGCTGTCTAGCGGATTCCCGAGTTCCGCATTTTCTTGGCCGCTTGTTTGGTGGCATTGGTGGGTCTTGGTACAGTTCGCGAGAGAGTCAGAGCGGGGGAGGCGGTACCAGACTACGCAAGGCAACAGGTGCTGGGGACATGAGGGTGTAGGCTCGTTAAGTACCCACGTCCTAGTGCAAGCTAGTCTCCGCTAGGCAGGCAGGAGCCACAGATTTCAGTTCAGTCTGAGTCCGTTTCATGTTCAGGCACAGTTTCGAGTGTCAGCTGTAGTAGTGGCAAGGGCGACAGCACTTGCAAGTGACACTGGCGCAGTGGTTGCGCGCTGAGCATGAGGCTCGTAAGCCCGTGTGCATCCTAAGATCGTGGGGGTTTGTCCCTCAGCCCAAAGTGAAGAAATCACGGTACGGTGCTGTTTTGGTACGCATGAGTCTTGGCATGTTGAGTGTGGGGGGGCAAATCACGTTTGGAGCTTTGCTGAGTCTGGGCTCTGGTGAGCACGAAATGCCAGGTCCCCTGCCCGTCCTGAAGGTTTGAAAGATACAAAGCTCCGGGCCATTGCCAGAAAATGGAGCCTTCCACCCTGCCATCTCCAAGGCGCACTCACTAGATGATATCGCATCTTCCCTGTAGAGGCTTGCGTTCATCTGTACTTTATGTAGCTTGGCTTGACATAGCCATGGACAGACTCCGCAGACCAGAATCCTTCGATGATGTGTCTGCAGAGGGGCTGTTCCGTGCCAGCACCGTGCCGGCGATCCTCGCCAAGCAGGGAGCCATCTTCATGCAAGGTTTGCCAGGTCTCCTCGAAGCAGGTGGCTTTCGCTCTGCGAAGATTCCGACAAAGCAGGAGGTGCTTCAAGCAGGATCCTTCATCTTCGAATCCTCTTCCTGCGCCGACTCGCAGGTGGACGTTTTTGTAAGCCATTGCTGGAGCTCGGGCCGGGCGAAGTTTCTGGCGCTGTGCCTCTACTTCAACCTGACAGCAGCTGTCCTCTGCTCCCTGACTGCCTGGCTTCTGGCTATAGCGGGCATGATCGCCTACGTGCATGGAGAACCCGCAAAGCTTGGGGGCAACCACTTCTTGCTGCCCATCTTGGTTCACTTTCCGATCGTGGTTTTTCTCGTGGTCTTTCTTTTCGGCCAGCATGCTGTGCATCGCTTGCGGCCCATATCGGTGTGGGTGGACCGGGCATGTATTCACCAGACAGACCACGACTTCAAGCATCGTCAGATCCAAGCGCTCCCTGTCTTCGTTTCCCGGTCCTCCTCCATGCTGGTGCTGTGGGATGACAAATACTTCCGAAGGCTTTGGTGCCAGCTAGAATTGGCTACCTTTGCAAAGCACGGTGGGGCTCAAGAGGTACAGTTCTTGCCGCTTTGGATGGCACCGTGGCTGCTGTCAGCACTTGTGGTGAATTCTCTGGTGGCTGTTCTCTGGAGCATGCTGAATTATCGAAGGCCTCAAGAATTCCTCATGTCTATCACAAGCTCCTGTACCATGATGTTGCCACAGGGCTTCCTTGATTCGCCATGGGGTTTTTTGGTGTCAGACACGATTTGGAGTGTGCTGCTTGGCACGACTTTGGGCATGCTTGCATCGATTCCTTGGACCATCGCCTGCAGAGCCAAACTGCAAAGCCACGAGTTGATGCTGCAGCAGATGGCTTCCTTCGAATGTCGGGCAGCAGAATGCACGATAGAGGCTGACCGGCTCCTTGTGGAACCGCAGGTCCAGACACTTTTCAAGTCGCGACACAAAGAAGAACCGGTGGTTCAGGCGGCATCCTCTCCTGGAACCTACGAACACCTGCAGACAGAATCGGGTGCCGATAGTAGTGTTGCATCCTGGGTGCCATCCACTACATACCAGGTTGGTTCCGAGACTACGGCGATCCTACACAACAGTGTGGCCAGCGCTGAAACTGATCAGGAAGCATTGGACGCTTTCAACAGCTACATTCGTGGTCCCCTTCGTCGTGCGGTGATGGAGAGTGTCGGAAACCAGCTGCATGTGCCTTACCGCATTTGCTTGGTAGCTGCTTTGCCCCTGATCTTGTATTCCCCTGTGGATCTTCTCCAATGCGATGTCGATTGCAGGTCCCGCTTGCATGTCCCCTCCCTCGAGGACGGCTTCCGGTCGGAGATGTTAAGCTGGTTTGTTGTCATATTTTTGGTGTTTCCCATCTTCTGTCCGATTCTTCTTCGCATGCTGAAGCATGCCTTCACCGTCCAATCACAGAAGTTGCAACAGGTGTTGGCAATTCTCAGCGCCGTCTTGACCTTTACCTATGGTTATCTGTGCGCTGGAGTGGTGGATGGACTTGTGTACAATGTCTTCCAGCAAGGATTGGTGGGCTCGGTGCCTGTCTTCGCTCTGCTGGTAATCCTTCTCCTATTGCAGCTGCGATACCTCTTCGGCACTGGCCCAGCAGTCCCAAGCACTTCGGGAGATCCGGTAGATAGCACATACCGGGCTCTGCATGCAGAAGACGACTTCAGCATCTAATGTTTCATGCAAATGCCTTACACAAGGCCTCTGCTAGCAAAGCGGGGCTTCACTTTGTCAAGGCTTTTCTCGAGTCGGTGCGGCTTAAGGCCCGCTGCATTCGTGGCAATCCGATCTGGTTAGAGCAGCTGTCTGAACCTTAAACAAAGCCCCGAGGTTTCAAGGCCAGGGCTTAACGAACATAGGTGCCTGCATGCTGTGTGAGATTGGTTCCTAAGGGTTCCCCCAGAACCCTATGCTAATCAGTACGACCCTTGCATTACCTTGGGAAGGACTTGAGTCTTGACCCCCGACCTGCACGCAAATGTAAACACCCTTGAACTGTTAAGCCCTAAACCCCGATAGCTGTTGGTATGTTTGTTGCGGCTTGCTTTCACGTATCGCCGTCCGCTCGTTTGTGTTGAACCTGATGCGTGAAGCCGTGCTAGCACTGTGCGAGTGTGCGACGGAATCCCACCTCCGCAAATCTGGCTGGGGGGTGACATCACATGCAGACGCCAAACAGGCCCTGAAACAAAAAAGCACCTCTGCCAAGAACGTCTTCACTACCTGCTCTTCATCGGACCAGGGTCAGACCCTGAGTTTAGAGGAGAGGACCGAAGTGGAGGTAAAGATCCCCTCAAGCCTTTGGTGCTTGCCTTCAGGTGCTTGTTCACCTTCTGTGGGGACTGTGGTTGTACTTGCTTCTAAATGCGATATTCGGAATTCGGCCTCGAAGAAGCATCTGCTGTCTGAACTGGCGCTGATGCAACCTTGGGAAGGAAGAATGTCATGAGGACGAGGATGTGGGCTCGATGACGAGAACGAGGATGATGCTGTTGGGCGCTGGCGGTGGTGATGAAGCTGTTACAGTGTTGTTGATGATGCTGCTGTAGTGGTGATGGCGGTGGCTGAGGTGATCAAGTTGACGATGGCGCTGCAGGTCGTGAGTCGTGCATGATAAAGATGATATGCCTCGTCGATAGCGACTCGATGGTGGTGGTGATGATGGATCGAAATTCAAGCCGAAGCCCAAGAAGGCAACTCTGAGCCAAGCATGTTACCGAGGCTGGTGGGGCGCCATCTTCAACACCCTGGGAGGTTTGGGCTTCCTCGACGCCTGGCCGCTGGAGTTCCAGGGGCGGTTTAGGAATCAAGGTTTGGGCTCTGAGACGCTCTGAGGCTGCGGCCTGTAGGTAGAAGTGTTTGGGTAGTTTTATTTTAAGGCTTGTGGGTCCTGAGCGACCCACACATGCTGAGACTCTGTTGGTAGCAGCAATCGGAAATGGGCACGCTTGTCCTGACCATCCATGCTGTGCACTTTCAACTCAAAAGCGTGGTCGAAACGGAGAGCGAAGTGGAGAGAGACGCCGATGAAGCGAAACAGACGGTGCTCATGTCCGCTCGAGATTGGTGCTACGCTTGGCTTCGCCCCTGGCTATGACTATGAAGCGAACTTCAGCTACGGCCGCTCGGCACTCACCTGTGGCGCTGTCACAGAAGTCCAGACAACTTCTCAAGCTTTATGACCTGTATCACCTTGTGACTCTCAGCTGAAAGAGTTGCTCCCGACGACAAGGTACGGTGGACTTCTGAACTTCTTGTATGACAGAATGCCTAGTCTCGGATATGCTCGAGGTTGTGCGGTGTAAACCTCGAGCCCTCTGCCCGTGCTTGTGATGAAGACTCGTATCGCTGCTCCTGCCCCAGGGCACGAGAAGTCGTTCAAAGCTGTGGAGATGTGGCATCGTCATGCATGGTCTGCGTTCTCATCGTAGGAAATCTGACATGGGGATGTTGGATTTGGACGTGGCTCGGGGGCCAATAAATGGTTCGGAATGGTTCGTACATATCGGACCAGTTCCACACACAGGTGCACATGCCGCAGGAATCGTAGGAGGGATGTTCACTGGAGCCGTGGCATGGGCGCTCGATGCACACGCAGTCGGTCCACTCGTCGATCTGTCATTGGATGTCACAGAATGACCATGGACGGTTGGAATGTTCGGTTCAGCAGCTCGCCATGATAAAGTGGTCTTCTCTGTCTCTGTCTCTGTCTCTCTCTCTCTCTCTCTCTCTCTCTCTCTCGCTCGTTCGCTTTGCGTGTAACAAGATACATACATCCATGTATGACAAGATGCACTATCTTCCTGGGAGCATCGTACGTACACCCTTTGCGCATGCATGTAAGCATGCGTTTATGTGTGTATGTACATAGATACGTCTACACAAGGGTTCCTTGCCCAAGTCATGTTCCCACAAAGCTGGATGCTAATGTGGCAGTGGCCACATCGATGTGACACAAGAATCGGAAGCTGTGGGACCCAGATATGGTGTACGTACAAACTAACCTAGCCCAAGCTCGACGAAGGCGTCGGCTCCTTCATCTTCGCCATGGGGTAGGAGCCCCGGATGGTCGTCTGAGATCGTGGTCGTGATTTCTCCCGGGCCGACAGAAATCTAGAGCCTGGCACAGCCTAGAAGAGTTCGTTTAGGTTTAGGCTGCGCGCTGGGACTTGTTGTCGTCGGAGGTTGTTACTCACAGCATTGCAGTAGCGGTTGCGACTTCGTCATGACTCTTTGCTGAACGCCGTGATTGCATCGTTGATGATCTGGGGCGGATGATGAGGATTGTGAGTACGGAAACGGAAAGGGTCGTCACGGTCGTCGTGATGATGACGATTTTCGAAGACGATGACGATGAGCATTTGGCGTGGAAGATATGCACCTCAAGACAATGATTGGTGTAGGTTGTATATATATATATACATATACACATCGATGTCTATATCTGTATATAGTTATGCATGTACCTACACATACATGCATACATTCGTGTCTATCTATCTATCTATCTATCTATACACACACACAGATGCCATAGTCTCCTGGCAGCCTCGGCAGAGCGAGAGGGTAAATATGGATTTGTTTGTGTGTGTGTGTGTGTGTTGGTTGTATGTTGCTCTTGACATGTGGCGTTTGCAGTCCTTGAGGGTCTGATCTGATCTACTCGCAAGCTCTGAACCTCGCCCAAAGCCCCTCCCCAGGTCGGGCGTGCAAATCGTGATGTGGAAGGACAGAGATTTTGTCGTGCGACCGGCATTCCTGGTAGGTTCTAGGACACGATCTAAGCCAATTTCTCAGAGAAAATGTTGCCGTAGCCCCTTGAACTTCCAGAGTACACCGGTTCGCAAGGCGTCACTCGAAAGGCCCGTCCAGTCTGCCGCAGGGCCGATTCCGCAAGCATTGCTATAGAAGCTTCCTTCGGGTTCCTTACTATATTTTCGTATGTTATGCCCCAGACCCCTAGATTCCACGCAGGACGAGCAGTTTGGCCTCACCTTCTTGGCTGTCCTCAATGATGGCCGGCCAAAGGTCCTCACAAGCCAGAAGGAGCTCGAGGAGGTCAGAGCTTGCACAACTAAGTAAAATAGATGGAGGTTTTGACAACGAAAATACATATATATATACACATACATGCATGCATACATATGTAATATGTAAATAAATATATATATATATATATATGTATATGAGCGCGATCTCCAAACCAAGCAGATCAAACAGGCCTCACCTCCAGCGTCCGAGTGTGATCGCACGAAACCCCGGCAGTTGGGCTACGGTTCCAGAAGATGAATCTAGATCATCAAAACTCCCCATCGCATTCTGCAAACATCTGCGAACCAAGCCGTGGGCATCGTAGTCAAGCATGTTGTGCCTTTCACAGTCTGGCAGCATGGTTTCGATCATGGCCACAGCTCTTGGGACAGACGCTGTGCCACCTTCTGTAGTAGCTACGGAGCTGTGGGGCGCCAACGCATTAAGGTAAGCATGCTTGCAGCCTTTGGTTCCTTGTTGATACTCATACGAGATTGCTTCGCCTGCTTCTGCTGCACTTGCTGCTGCCCTTCCTCTTTTCTTTTTTTTCGCTACTTCCACGGCTACTGCTGCTAATGCTGCTGCCACGAGTCGTCAGCTTGGTTTTGTCGTCGTTCTCGCAGCAGCAGTCGTTGCAGACCCGTTTGAAGCAGCCAAGGTTATGGTGTTAGTAGCAGTCTTAGATGGTGGTTATGGCTCAGTATGGCACGGCAATTCTCACAGGGAACCACTTTCTGCACGAGTAGCTGTAGCAGGACGAGTACTGTATTAATGGTAATCATTTCGTGAGTTCTGGTGAGTTTTATGTGTTTTGTGCCGTCGTCAGTTGTCAGTGCGTGCTAGTCTTTGAACGGGTGTTTAATTCGGATTAACAGCGGGAGAGACAAGTCCCGTGACGAAGCCAACAACGAAGTGCATTGGAGTGCTTCTTGCAGAAGCGAGTTGGGAGAGTACTTCCGTTAATGATGATGGGCGTCGCGAGAGCAACCACACAAAGGTCGTAGTGGCAGTGGTGATCAGTTTCAGGCAATTGTCGCAATTTGAAGCTCGAATCAGGCTTCCACCTTCACCCCCACTGGCACCATCTTCATCATGCCCTTGGGCAGCCTGATGTGTGTTCTGGGCTTCAAGGGTCCGGGCGAGGGTTTCAATCAACTTTCACGGGCGCAGGCCCGTTCTCCGCCATGGTTGTCTGGACCTCGCTACAGCAAAACAACAAGACTGGCATGCAGTTGGGGGTTTCGGGATTGACGGCTGGTTGGCAGAAGCTAGAACCTAAAGCTCTGTGGTGTCGGTTGCTGGGCTGTTCAGTCAATTCCTGCAGATGTCGACCCCAACGAGCAATGAAGCATCTGGTGTTTCCTTTCATGTTGCTCTTGGGACTGAGGCCTCTTCTAGGTGTTGTTGACCGGTAGCGTGCGGAACGCCCCACCCAGATCCGTAGCCCTCTCTCACCAAGGATTTACTGCTTTGCATCAGCTTTGAGCGCCACTTGCTTCAAGGGTCGGCCGGAGGTGCAAGGTAACTGTGGGGTTTTGGGGGTAGGATAGACTTGGACCGAAGTTATAGCAAGGGCAAGGCAGCTGCACGTTTAGAACTGTGGTGCACAGCTTTTGCCGCTACACGCGTGGATGGGTGAGCCCACGGACCCAAGCCCCACAAGGCGAAACAGACAACTCTGACCCCGGAATCTTAAACCGGCTGCCATGTAAGAGGTAATGAAACCCTGACGGTGACAGATGCACACAAGTAGTGGCTCGCTCATCTTCAGAGCTGTGTAGGCCAAAGAGTTCGTGCGTCTTGAAGGGATCAGGGCATTATGTTCTCAGGATAAAGTACATGACGATATAATATACCACAATATACCTTACAATGTGATTGATATGATATATATATATATGTATGTATGTATGTATGTATGTATGTATGTATGCTAGAATGTTAAGATTTGCAGGATTTTCACGTTGCTGAGCCCTTTGGGGGGGATCTGTTGGAGGGTCTCTTGCAGGTCAGGGTCGCAGGCCTAGGGTTGAAGGTTTTTGTCCTGCCGAGCCAAGGCTGATGAATCAAAGCTAATCATGAAGACCCCTATATGGGTTATAAAATGCCCTTATGTAGAGGAACCCACGGATTACCCTTATATCGGTTATAAAATGCCCTGATGTAGAGGAACCCACGGATTCTTCTCGAAGTCTAAGTGGGCACCAAGTTCTACACCGTGACCATCGCGTTGACGGCCGTGACACTGCAAGCTGAAGTGGGCCTGGCGCTCGCAGTTTGGCAGCAAAGCACAATAATGAAGCGCAGCAATCACAAAATCGTAGTACTAATAATCAGAATGGTAACATTTTGTTTTTGTTGTCTGTCGTAGTTGCTGTTTATTCTTGACTGCCTTGTTTTTTGTTTTAAAGGAAGAACTTCCTGGAGCTGCAGTGCGAGGCCCATCAAGGCCCCCAGAGACCCAGCTGCCCCAAGACAGCGATTCTGGACTTCAGGCTTTGGGCTCAAGATCCCAATATATGATATAGTAAAGTACATAAACCTGGCCGAGCGCTGGAGAACTGGTCGACCTCCGGGCATCCTTTGAGGTTTCGTTCGGGGTAGTCCGTGCGGCCTTCTCCAACGCTCCGCTAGGAGCCGGGGAGCCGGCGCGGGATTGCAGACTCCGAAACCTGTACTGTACTGTTTGACAGTGTGGTGTTGGGCTTTGTCAGTGCGGAGCTTGTGAGCTGCCTTGGTTACTCCCCAACAACCTCTCAGTAGTCCGAAATGAGCTCCCCGTGGTGCGACTCGTCAGCTGGGCGGGTGGGAAGATATAGTATAGTTAATAGTGGAATAGGATATAAATACTAGTATACCACAACATAATACATAATAGTATATTCGAATATAATGGCTAACATGCTGGCATACTGTGCATTCGTAAGATTCGGCTTGTCCGGCTGCTGCGTGTGCTGAGGTCATTTCCAATGCCATCAATGACTTCCTACCGTGCCTTCAGCTAACTATAGACTTAGAGTATCAGTATATAATAGAGTCAATGGGGCTTCGAGCCTGTTAAATGCATGATGCATCTTGTTTTTCCAACAGAGTCTCGCAAATCAAAACTGGAATGAGCTGTTTGCAGCAACATGTTGGTTCTCGGCCTGCATCCGATCGAAGGGATGGCGCGTTCGAGTTTAGTATTCAGGCTGTTCAGACAGTAGTGTTCCAAGTCACTGCTTCTCGGACGTAGAAACGGAAGTATGTTTCATCTCCGACCGTTGTACATTGTAGGCAGCAACATGCCGGTAGCTTCATGGAAGCATCATGGGCCGGCCAAGGTGCTTATTTGCCCACATCATGCTGGCATTGATGCCTGGCTGTAGCTGAATGGTTTGGTGCGCTTTAGGGCCGGTGTTTGTTGTGAAGCCGCCGACTACACATGGGTACCTTTTTTCAGAACGCCTCGGGATCAGGGTGTCGAAAACACTATGCACTATTTTGTTGCAGTTCCATGGCGGCTTGTCTTGTTAGACTGGGCGCCCGACCCCGCGCCCCAAACAAAAAGCAACTGGTGAAGGTTTGCGTGGTTTGTTCGAGAAGAGAAGCCACACTTTTTGTACGTGCTTGGAGTTTAAGCGGTTCGTCTCGCGTTTCAGGATTCAGTGCACCTCAGCCTCAGACCGAAAAATGTACAGATTTATGTGTAGCTCCCGATTGTAAATAGAAGCAAAATTGAATAAACTTATACCTACATGCTTGTAAACGAACATGTGACTGCGACCGTTGGAGTTCCAGCAGTAGGGTTCTTCTGGCCGGGCGGCCTCCAATCAAGCCTGTGGAAAAACACTTTCTCGGGCTTGAGGCATTCTTTCGTACTTTGAACGGAAGAATGTGTAGGTTGGAGCCCCAGCCGAAGCGGGATGTGGTCTCGCTGGATTCCTGAAAAAACAGTTTTATAATAGTAGTATAATAATATCATAGAGGATGGCAGAACTACGCCAGTTCTAGCTTAAGGACGATTGAATATCTTATGCCGGCGAACCTGTCTGGAAGCCTTGTCCTTGCAAAGCCTTGGGCCAAGGTAGTGCAGTGCCAGATTCGAAAAAGCCCTCTGAAGCTGTCCACACCAGCCCTGAAGCTGGAAACACCACCCTCCCTTCCAAGGAACTCCGCTGTCATCAAATCGCACCTCGGGCATTATTTTGTAGGGGTCGGGTTATGTCTAGGACAACACTGACATAGAAACTGGCCTAAGTCAACGCAGTGATGCGGCTCCCACTTGAATTCCTCAACTTATTTCGCCTCGACTGCGCAGGCCCAGTCGGGTTCGCTGCAGCCCTGAGCCTAGGCCCAAGATGTCTCCCTTCCGTCAGCTGTACTTCGCGGCGCGCATCGTCGCGATTATCATGGCAGCTGGCTCAGGGGGGCGAGCTTGGGCAATGCAAGGGCAAGGGCTATTTTGCTGTTTGCGTGCGACTGCATGCTCTGAAGGTTTATCAATAGAACGGTAGCCAATTTCCGGGGCAGCTAGCTGTGCCGGCTCTTTGCAGAAGCAACTCGTTCATCTCTGCTTGCTGTTTGCGCAAATTAGCATGGCAATGGGCTATTACTCTGCAATGTAGGATGCAGAGGGAGGTGTAGCGGCGGTGTTGAGAGTGTTAGCGATGCAAGTTTGAGGCCTGCGGGTCTGTTGCAAGTCCTGGTTAGGACTGTCTTCCTACTGGTAGCACCGGAATCCGACATGCTTCCGTCGTTTGTGGACAATCTGCTGATCTAGGTCATCAACTCTGCGTGTGCCTTGTCTGGGTTAAGCACAGCAGCGGTGTCATGTGCAACAAGTGCGCTTCAGGAGCACGATGGAGGGACCCGACCCTCGGTATAGAATCAAATTTCAGTATGCAGCGCACGTGCGGCGTGTGCCGTTTTGAAACAATTGAAATTGCAGACTTGTGCTTCGTGCCGATGCAGAGGCGCAATAGTTCCCGCCGAGAGTGCCAGGCCGCATCTTCGAGGCAGTCTACCTGGCCAACTGGGAGCTGCATCACCCAGGCGAGTTCACCACAGGCCGGGTAATTCAGCTTGAGACCCTGTTGCTCGGACCTTTGAAAAAGCAGGCCCAACCAACAAATGGCCGACTAGAGCCCTTCCTCTCGCAGGTCAGGGAAAGGTTTGAGGTGGGGAACACTTTGAAGACAGTGCAACGCATACAAAGTCGTAAGCAGAGTCCGACTTGTTGAACCATGCTGTTGGGCGTCTTCACTCTGCACACTTGGGTGCCTGCGCTCAGGGGCAGAATGCAAGCTCGCGCACCTCGCTTCCCTGTCTTGAATGAATTGCGCGCCACAGCTCTTTGAACTGTTCATGGGCTTACCATGCAGACGGAGCATGTGTGCTTGTAGCGTACTGGGTGCAGCCTGCTTCCCTACGAAGCATCGATTAGTTAAACTCGTTCATGATAAATGGCTTAAAGTCGCTGTTGAGCAGTAACCACAGTAGCGACGGGAGACGAAGACCCAAAGTAGCAGTAGCGTTGCTAGATACAGTAGCCTGAGTACAGAAGTGATAGCAGTGGCAGAAGCAGTAGCCCACCTTCGCCTTAGCAGCAGCAGCAGCAGCAGTAGCAGCAGTGGTAGCAGTAGTGACAGTGGCACTGGCAGTGGCAGTAGTAGCGGTAGTGGTAGTGTTCGTGGTAATGGGGATAGTGGTGATGGTAGTTGTCGTCGTAGTCGTAGTCGAAGTAGCCGTAGTAGCAGTAGTACTCAGTAGCAGTAGCAGTAATTGCAGTAGCAGCAGTAGCAGAAGAAGTAGAAGTAGTAGTAGTCGTCGTCGTCGTCGTCCTCGGCGGCGCGGCAGCAGCAGTAGTAGGCGTCGTCGTCGTCATAGTCGTAGTCGTAGTCGTAGTTAGGAGTAGTAGGAGCAGCAACAGCAGCAGAAGCAGTGTTTCTTGTTGTGGCAGTGGGTTTGTTGTTACTGTAGTAGCGCGCGTAGAAGGTATTTCCAGTACTCGTGTGTGGTTGTGGTAGGCTGGTAGGGGTTGTGGTAGGTAACAGTATTTGTTGTTGTGGTGGTAGTGCTTATGTGAGGTAGTCGTGCCGGTTGTGGCTTACGGGTTTAGGTGTTGAAGCCCGTTGGGTCTTCACAGAGGAAGGAGGAGGTATCAAGTGGCACATCAAGGGCCGTTAACTGATTACCTGCCGAGAATCCCCATCCCAAAAGCCCTTAAGGAAACTCGCTCCGCAACCCACAAGAGCCGAAGGGATCTTGGATCTGTGCAGATGGGGCACCTAATCCTCGATGTTCCTACAGAGGCATCTTCATGCCCTGGCTTTCAATCGCTTTGCAATTTGGGCTGCTGGGATCCCAATTTGCCAAAGCGATCTCGTAGCTAAATTCCTGCAGCCCGCTGCAATCGAGGGCAGAAGATGCCGCCTCATCGTTTAAGATGTTTTGCCAGATGTGACCTGCCTATATACCCTCGTGTCAAGCCTAAGCGGGGAGGCCATGAGTACCGCAGAACGATTGCGAAGACTCGTGGCTCGCACATCCTGGCATTCTGAGCGTAATCCACCTTTCTGGCCGTGCCCTTGTGCTGGTGCCGAGCGCACCAGGTATATAGGTCTTCAGTCAATCGGCAGCACAAACTTGACAACATGGGCATCACCGGGCATCTGAGCAGAAAAAGGGGTTGGAGGTGTGGCCGAGATATGTGATGAACCAAGAGAATTTGGGACCCTTTCTTCGTTTCTGCTCATCTTGCGTCTTCTTGAAGCAGGAGCCTCACCCATGTGTGGTAGGTATCTGCTCAGTCCTGTGAAAGGATGAACTGCTTGCCTCTGAAGAAACCGAGCCCTGTGCTTTATAGTTCGGCTGAAACCACAGTGAACCCCAGAAGGTTGGTACACAGATTAGGGCTACGGTGTGTTGGGATTCGCTATACTTCGTCTCCTTAAGGGCATCGGGCTCATGATTTTCCGACGTCCCCTTCCTTCTTCCTTCCCGGTTGAACGAAAGGAACTCGGTGAGCCGCAAGCGCTTCTTGCTTCCTTCAGACCTCAACATTTCTTCCCCCACAAAAATGAACAACTCCTTGCTGGGGAGCGCGGCAGCTTGAGCAGACCAGGCCGGGAGAGTGCGCAAATGCAGCGAGAGGAGGAGTGGCTGGCCGTGGACTCAGCCTTTTCATGGCAGAGCCCATTTTTGGCAGCTCTTCGGGCGATCGATTGGTTTCCGCGCAGCCAATGGCTTTACCAGATCTACACTGAAGAAGCGATAGTGACAGCCTGAAGGTAGGTTAAATGTGCAGCAAAGCACAAGTGTATACAAGTGTGCATGCATCGGACCACAGAGCTTCTTTTACGCGACTAGCTCCAGTACCAGCAATGGCTTTGCTACTGTGCGAAAAGTCTTACATGCTTCTGCCTCAGACTGACGCCTGCAAATCTAGTTTTCTCTGATCGTCGTGCACACGCTGGCAATGCGTGGTGCCCATGGCATCTTGCCTGCGGCGATCTCGGCATGCCCAGGCCAGCCTTGAGTGCACGGATGTCATGCGAGGACGATATCACTTGGGACTAGGGTGAAGGAAAGTGAAGACGGAGATACAGAGTATGCCGGGCACACCCTCAGTCAGTACTGATAAGTTGTCATGGAACATCGACAGCAACAACGACCAAACAACGACGACAACAACGGTACATCTGACAGACCCCCACAACAAGAACAGAAGCGGTGGCGGCAGCAGCAGCAGCAGCAATGGCAACAGCGGCGCGCACGCGCACAACAGGACAACCCCTGCATGCTCCTGCTCTTAGTCTTACATTTTCTCCTACTACTGCTACTACCTCTAGTACCTCTGCTACTGCTGCTGCTCCTACTCCTACCTCCTACCTCCTTGCTTCTCCTACCACTACTGCTGCTGATGCAGGACCTGAGAATGGGTTCAAAACCACTCTGCCTAGTTGTGCTGCTACTGCTACCGCCGTCGCCGCTGCTGCAGCTGCTGCTGCTGCTACTACTACTCCTACTACTACTACTACTACTACTACCACCACTGCTACTGCTACTGCTACTGCTGCTAATGTTGCTGCTGCTGCTTCTTCTTCATCTTCTTCGACTGCCCATGTTGTCGCGTTGTCAGTGCAGGTTGGCATCAAGGCAGCGGTGGTCTGTTTGATCGTTTGCTGGCATCTTGGGCCGAAGCCAGGGCTCGCTCGGCTTTCGAATCTGCAGTTTAGGGCCCTATTCCGGGCTTAGTGCATTGCAGTCCCTGCTCAAAAAAAGGGCCCTACTCAGACCGAAAGGGTTTTAGGGGCCCCAACAGAGCGGCGATATGGGCTGTGGGTATTGTGCCTACCTGATTTTTGGTGATGGAAGGAAGCCCCGAAACCCTGAACTTGTTTGGTTGTGAATGCTGACGAGCCATTTGAGCTCTTCACCTTTTCGTTCAAAGGGTGGTTTGCTTCTGAGGACCCATCTGCCAGATTCAACTTTAGACCCTGCCCCAAGGCACCTCGCAACACGTCCGCTAGGCAACTTTTGCCTACAATCATTTCACACCAAACATCGATCCCAAGAGTCAGGCGTGCGTGTCTCAAGCGCTATATCTATATCTATATATATATACATATGTGTAGATATCTGTATATCTGTATAACTATGTTTTTCCATACATGCACACACGAGAATAGATATGTATACTACACATAGTGGTCTCCATGTGCCAGCTTTCCTAGGCTGCCACCAAGAAGCCGCGGCTGGGTGTTGCCGGGCCGAGGCTCGGAGAGTTTCGCGATTCAGGGCCTGTAGAATATGAGCTTAGTGCATTGCAGTCCCTGCTCAAAAAAGGGCCTGTAGAATATGAGGCGTTTCGGGTTGAGATGTTTGTAAAACTCGGTTTGCGGCTTCTGCAGCCTGACTTGGGCTGCATCGTTACATGCGCTTGGGCATGCATGCATGCGTACATGCGACAGCCAGACAGACACAGACAAGTGCACACGACATGCACACATGCATTCAAATTTGTTGATCATTTGCTTGGGCATTCCGTTGCAACATTTTTAGGAAGGAATGTGCCCAAGCCTGGCGTGGTGTGGTATGCTGAAGTAGTTGTTGGGTTTGGGAGTGATGTTTGGGAGTGATGTTGGTTCGATTTAATTGCAGATGGCTTTGCCTGCCGGCTCCTCAAGCTCAAAGCTTGTTGTGCGCCAGAATCTGTTGAGCATGAGGCCAAGGAAGCACCAAGTTTAGAGGAGAGAGAGGGGGACATGATTCGAAGAGTACATTGAGTACTGCAGATGGTATTACCGTAATTTGGGGTCCTTTGGGATTTGGGCATGAAGGCTGTCAGGGCGAGCACGGCCTCAGTGAGAATTGCCTTGCCGGGAAGTAGGGGTGGTGCAAGTGAGCCCTTCGTACAGGGTAGAGGGCTACGTTTCAGTGGCTGCAGACCCGTGTGCTTATAGACAGAGTTTCGAGACTCTTCAGCACAATCCAGAGCATTGGTTCGTGCACAGCAATCCATGCATTGACTTAGAACTTGTGTCGGCTGCAAGCCGTAGGATATCACTGCAATTATCGCTCATTGGGTGCAGCAGTGAATCGCACTTTACTCCAAACTCCTGCCCCCCCTGTTCTCCCAAGACCGAGGGGGTGCAGTGGGGCAGCTGCTGGCCCGACGTGCTGCACCGAAGGCATTTTCGGGGCCGTGGGTGGCTGAGGAGGCACTCCAGATGTGATGATCTGATGGTCCACGATGCAACGAGCCATCCGCCAAGCTAAGTTGATATGTTACCCGCTAGGACCGCTAGGACCTCAGGAGATCCAAGAGTAGCCTTTGCCTCCGAAGGATGCACACATCAAGTAGCAAAGTTACAAGTCTGGTTCCGATCTGAGCTGTTGCGAACCTTTCAGCCTGAATGGTCAGGAAATGCGTAAGAGTGTAAGCCGTTTCTCAGCTAGAGATCGAGGCCCTGCAAACCTGCGCCTGATGGAAATAATGTTGCTGCCGTGCATGTATGAGCCCTCGAGCCTTAGCCATGCCCATCTTCAGGTTCGTTTGAGAGTGGTCCAGACTTGTACGGGACAAACACGTTGATCCCTACACCCGTGGCCCAAGAATTTGAGGAGGCTGGGGGCGACCTGGACATCGATGGCGAGCTGGAAGATGACTGGGGTGTTGTGGATGATGAGGAGGAGGAGGCATGGGCGGTTGCAAGAACCAGAGTAGGACCGATTGGTCTGACCATACGTACTATAGGACATGGACTTTGCCGGGATTCTGTCTCAGCCAGGGGTTTGCGAGAAGCCCGGGCCGGAATGTTTTTGTTTTC